TCTTCAATTTGCCTACCATATCAGAATTGAATATTAGCTAAGTTTAGTATTTTAGCTCTCCTAAGGCAGTATTTGGGGCTTCTGGTGAAAAGTTTTAAATTTGCACATGTCACTATATTGCAAGATATTGTTTTTTTGTGAGTGCTAATCTGGGAACTGAAAAGTTTTTTTTGAAAACTAGATTATTAGGAAAGGCAGTATTTGGGGCTTCTGGTGAAAAGTTTTAAATTTGCACATGTCACTATATTGCAAGATAGTGTTTTTTTGTGAGTGCTAATCTGGGAACTGAAAAGTTTTTTTTGAAAACTAGATTATTAGGCTGAGGATTCATAGACATTGCTACTTCTCCATGGGTTTAGCAAGTGGTGAATTTGATCACGGAACCCAGGTCTTTGCATTTCCCTCTGGGTCGCTTGTATTTTATTACCCATTGTGCTCTCTCTGACATTTAGGGGCCTGTATGCTATAAAGAAATATAGCTATAGCTTCAAAACTTTTATGAAAAACATACTTATGTTATTAAGTAACGTTTTAACTGATGTGGGCTTTATTTTGTATCAGAAACTGCCATCAACATTGGTTACGCCTGCAACATGCTGACGGATGACATGAATGATATGTTTGTAATAGCAGGGAACAATGCAGTGGAAGTGAGAGAAGAGCTCAGGTAAGTGTTGAAGGAAGCAGGAAAGGAAAGATGGGTAGGAAGGAGGGAAGGGAAGGGAAAAAGGAAGCTCAAATAGTTGAGAAAGTGAAGTGTACACTAAGGTTCCCTATGGTCCTAACTTAGTATAGAGCTTGTTCTGCATTTTTTTCTAAATTTCCATTCATTTTGGTGACAAACTAAGATTTTTGACATCAGTGGTGAATTATTGTCTTTAGGCCTCCAACATTTCCCAAGTATTTTTAGAACAGGATTCCAAGTAATTTACATTGAATTATCCTTTAAAATTGCACATTGGTGAGTACCTGCTAGCTCTTAGTGGTGATGCGAGATAAGTATTGCTGAGGACAATTGTTAAAAATACCAATTTCTTACTTTCATTTTGACATACATATTAAGAATCTCCAGGGAATGGCATGAGTTCATATTTAATAAGCACCTCTGTGAAGCTTATGATTAGATAAGTTTGAAAAACAGCTGTAGGATTAGAGTCTTTCAGTGTTAAAGAATGTATTTTGACATAGTTACTATTGAACCCAGATATGTACTGCTTATGATAAATAGAATGCTGCAAAATATGTGTAACTGCTGCATAGTACCAGAAAATACATAAGTGCTGAAATTGGAGGTAACAGTGAGCAAACATTAAACCTTAAGAAATAATATTTCTTAATATCTACCGAATTTATTATTTTATCTCTTTATTTTCTGTTACTTTATTTGGAGAAGAACATTTAAAAATCTGCATAATTATTTCCTCAGAATTTAAAAAGACGCTGTTTCATAATTTTTGCCTGCTGCCTCTTGTAGTGGCTTCTCTAAGCTCAACCCACTTTGGGTCTAGCCAAGCAGATCACTGACGTGAACTTCAAGGTTCCTGAACCTTGAAGAGGAAGTAAGTCTTGAATATCAGCACCATCAATTGATACTCATAGATCAAGTCTCCCAACTTCTCTATGTCTTACCTGGAGTAGAAAACTGCTATATCGTACTGGTTAGAAGCTATGACTGGAAACTGTATGTTTTAAAATGGAAAAATCTAATTAATTATTAAAGATATAATTTAATTATTATTATATAATTTTAATGATAGATCCCATACAGTCTAGTGAGGAAATAATAATAATTAATTTCATAATCAATTAAAATTTTTTACTTTAAGAAAATCTTTTTCTTTAAATGACTTTTTGTTTTGGGGGGAATTTGACTCTTGCCAAAGGAAGAGTGATGCAAGCAGATCTAGATTTTAATGAGCCTATTGCTAAATGGTTTGAGTGCCCGGAACAGTATTCTAAGCAGTATACATGTTATTACCTCATTTCATTCTCAAGCAACCCAGTGGTAGGTATTACCGTTATCCTTGTTTTACAGAATAGGAAGTTGAATTACATAAAGGGTAAGTAACTTTCCCAAACTGGTTCATCTGAGACTTGAATCTAGGCAGCTTGGCCCCAGACCCTTGCTCCAGATCATTTGCCACGTTTCCCTAAAAATACTTTAGCTGTGTTCTTACTCCCTTGAAATAGTTAATCTAAAAAATGTAGCTATTGAGGCATATCAGTGCTTCACTTGAGTGAGTGGTCAGAAAACAGATTAGCAGCTGGAGTGACAGTAAATTTCTGCGGAGACAGCAGATGACAGAGGAAGAGTACGGACTGTGACTGCGTATCAGGGGACTTGAGTTGGAATCTCAGCTTCTGGCCCACTGAGGGGCTGGGCGACTTCTGATACGTTATTTAACGTCTCTCTGCATGGTTTTCTCATTTGTAAATGGGGATACAAATATCTGCTCTGTAGATTATTCTCTTTGAGGGATTAGATAAGAACTTAAAGCTTTGTGACTGATGGGCTTCCTTCTCACCATCCTCTTTCGCTCTCTGATTCCTTCCTTTTCCCTTTCTTCTTCCTTTAGCCATTGAGTCCAATCTTTCTACGAATAGGGACTACTTTTACTAATATTTCCCCAATAGGGGCCGTGATCCTGGGACAGTGGGGAAAGGAAAAGAGTGGGATGAAATTGAGAGCTTTTTTGGAAGTAGAATCGATAGGACTCAGAATCTGACTGGATGTGGAGAGAGAGAGAAGGAGGCTTTGTCATTTCTAGCTTGTCTGACTTTCACAGCCCAGAATACACTCAGACAGGCAAGAACAGAAGCTCATTACATTTTCTAAAACTGGACTCGAGCCCCTTTCCTGCCCGATGACAGAACAATTAAACTAGGCACTTTCAGTTCAGTGTGGTTCAAGTCCGGGATGCACCTGCCAGCATCCAGCCCTTCCCACTTCCTGTCCCTGTCTGGTCTCTGGTCTCTGGGAGTTGCTGGCTGTCCCTCTGGCCTGACTTCCACACCCTCCTGGGGAAATGTGGCAAGTGGGGCTGCCCTTCCTCACCTCTCTGTATCTGAGAGGACGTGTGTTCTCACGTGGCCACTTCAGTCCCTGAAATCTCCTTAGTCTTCTCCCCTCCATGTCACTGCACCTCTGTGGGAAGTGGCAACTACTCCATACTCGGATTCCCAACCATCTACCTGAGGATTCCATTACGCACACGGTTCCTCCATCCACTACCAATTCTGCGGGTGGATCAGGACCCAGGCTTCTTTTAGCCACTCACCAGTATCTAAACTCCTCTTCAAAGTCCCTCTTCCCTGGTCTCAGAAGGTAAATTCTTTCCACTCTGCTCCTTTTGGCAATGTTTTATGTCCCAATTCCTTTAAGGATTAGTTCTTTTGAGAGTTGAAGAAACTTTTTTCTTTCTTTTCAAAAAGCCCAATTACTGAAATTCCAGATCACAGGAATGCCGAATGATGACACTGCTATGAACTTCAGTCGTCTATTTTGGTGCCCAGAAAGCACGAACTGACTCCCCCTGCAATATTTGACTCTATCAGATTCCCCCTGAGACAAGGCGTGCTTCTGAATAAATAGCGAGGGTCACCTGTGTTCATAGTGGTGGTTGGAGAAGGGATGGATGAGTTAATATCTCAAGATTTTATCCAACTATATTTGGTTGACTAAATAGATGACATAACTGTCATTATGTGGAAGAAATGTGGAGAAATGTGAATTATTTATATACTGTTGTTAAGAGTGTAAATCGGTAGAAACTTTCTAGAGAGCAAACTAGCAATATATTTTAAAATTACATGTATGCATACTTTTGACCCAATGATTCTTATTTCTAGGAATTTCCCTTAAGTGACAATTGTAAGAATATGTGAAAAAAATGTGAACAATGTATGAATATGCATATAAAGAAATATTTGTTGCTGCATCAATTATAACATAAAATTATAAATAATTCAAATACCCAGCCATGAGGGATTTTGTTAAATTCTATGACGTACACATGCAATGAGATATATGCAGTCATTAAAAATGATTACATATTTATTGACATTGGAAGATGTCCATGACATGTTTGTTAAGTGAAAAAGGAGATTACAAAACATTATGCATATTATGATCCCTTTTTTGCAAAAAAAAGTATGTATGTATAGATATATGCATGTACATAGTTGTATAAAACACTATCACCTATTCACCCATCCAACTATCCACCTATCCAACTATCCAGCTCTGGAAGACATATGCAGTGGTTATCTCTGAGTGACAGATTTATGGATCATGTTTACTTTGTTCTTTATGGCTCTTTGTATTATCTGAAGTTGTAATAGTATTCATGCAATGCTTTTACAATTAGAAAGAAAGCTGAAAATTGATCTTCATTTTTTAAATGAGAAAAAATATTCAGAAAGAAAAAAATAATTTCCAGCTAGACTCAATATTTCAGGATGCTTAAGGCCACCTTGCTCAACCGAGACTTAGAGGCAACCCCATTCTTAGAGTTGAAGAGAGGAAATACATGGTAGAAAATTCTACATAAGAGGAATCAATACATTTCCTGTATGCATTTGCTTAATATTAGGATTGGGGGGAAAAAAGAGCATCCAAGAAAAGCTATTGCTTGAAGGTCATTTCTATACTCCTAATCTTGGCTACTTATATCTATGCCCATAGCTTTGGGGATGAAATATTGAAATAATACATTTGCACCTTTCCATTTTCTTGTGTTATGCGTTTGGGTTTAGTGGGAGTTCACATGAAAAAAGTGTGTCAAAAGAACATGATCTGAATGATAGTTACTATTGGAAGGAAATAACCTAAATGATTACATTTAAGTCTGTCAAGTGTGTTTAGATTATTTCATAAACATGTATATGTAATTTTCATGCATATCATACATGCATGGCTTGTTTCAAATTTGGTGTCATGAAACCATTTTAGACACTTTGAGTCCTGGGTTAATTTTGCTGTTGTAGCTGCTTTAGTATTAAGGGCATTCCTAGAAATCTACAATCAAACATTGCTATGGTTTCTCAGAAAATTACTGCATTTATTATATTTCATCAATACATGTATCTTCTGCTCAAAGGAAAACATACTGAGAATGTAATTTTGCTTGGTCTGACAAGAGAACTCATTCCCTATTTCATTTTTGTAGCGCTGATTGCACGTTTTGCTATGAGAAATTTCATGTCATCTAATTCAACCACGAAGTGACTCCACTGCTTCTAAGAAGTATCTGCATGATATACATAGGAACTGATATTTTCTCTTTAATCAACAAAATATGCATTGGTATTTTTTGAATACCTACTTGGTGGAAAGTTATTTGTTTGAATGAGAAGGGTTCTCAAATGCAAATGGCTCCAGGGCCAGGCAGGTAACCTTAGTTGTGTGATCTGGGCCATTTATGAGACATCAATGGAGTGGTGGGACCTGTGGTGAAGGAGAATGTCACTTTGGCCATGAAATCATACACATTCTTTAAAACACTATGCATTCCAAACAAAATGCATCTTGGTCCTAATTTCTAACTTCTAGTCACCCAGAAAACATGTTTTAGTAGGTTAAGTTTCTGTCACAAATCATAAAATTTTAGAACCCTTAAGTAATCTTGGAAATCTCGTAGGACACACTGGTGCAACTGCCCAAGTTTTCGTAGCTGGTCTATATTTTGACTGCTTGGTGCCCCAACCAGTCTGATGGGCTGATCCCATTCCCCTAATTTTAATAATGAAACTGGTTTAGGGTTGAATGTCTTAAAGATCTCTCAGGTAGTAAGGGACAGAACTGGGGCTTGAAATCAAAATGTCATGTACTTTTTCCCTTTCTGTACTGTTGGCAGGGTAGTGCTGTCCCTTAACTGCCCCTCTGGCACTGGTCCAAACTAGAGGCAGCCTATGGCTGACTCTGTGTGTAAACAGGTTTGGTGTGGTAGGCCAATAACCAGGAATTTGAAGGACTAGGTTCTAACCCTGGGTCTGCCACTGACTAATCAAGTGGCTAGAGGTCAGATAACTCAACTGTGGGCACATGAAGTGTCAGAGGCAGACCTTGGTCCTGAACCCAGGTCTCCAGCTTCCAAGCCCAAAGCTCTAGCCTTTGTATCAAAGTCCAAATTGTTTTCTTTTAAATATAGTGTCGTGGTTTTAATCCATTTCCTCACAGATCCTTTTAATGTTTTAATACAGAATGCCATAAGAGGACTGACAAAATGACTATTTTTCTACCATCTCTTTTCTTCCGTACAGGTTGCATGCAAGCCAGCCTGGGCCTCCCTGTGTTTTGCTGTGCTTGTGGTGGCATGGGGTTGTGAATGCCACTGTCGCCTCAACTATTAATGTGTTTCTGCATGCCAACACTGTAATAAACGGCCCTTCATTACACAGCTTGGAAAAAACAGGCACTCTTTTGTTTTAGCATTTGTTATTTGTATTCTGTGGTTAAGCATTGTGTGTTATGCCTGGAAAGATGTATAGCTCATATTCATTGAAGGGAGTTTGTGTAGCTTTTTCTCCCGCTCCTAATAAATTGTTTTTGTGAGAACCAGCTGGTGTTTGAAGAGTTCAGTTCCAGAAAGAGAAAGAAATGACAGCTATAGAGCATGGACAGAGGTCTGAAAACATGAGAGCCTGATCTGGCGAGGAGACTTGGTCTGTGCAGAGAGAGAGAGAGAGTGCAGTGGGAATTTAAGAAGAGAAGGAAAAACTGTCCCTTTTCTGCTTGGAAAAAGGTTCATATGAGATGTTAGGAAGACAGTTTAAGGGAAAAAATCCTAAGTAAATACAATTTCAGCCAATACTTTCATGAACTTCACCCTTCTTTGGAATGTTTTCATTCTCTGGGGGGAAAACAGAGATTGAATCATTTATAGAGCGAGTGAGAACTTTACTAAAAAGGAAACCTCAGGAGATGTTTTCCCTGTAGTGCTTTCTTAAGACCAAATTTATGAGCTCTGCAACGCTGTCAGAGAAATGTTCATTTCTAAGGAACTTGTCTCCCTTGCTTTCTTCATTATATGGGACTGTAAATTTTTATGACTGTGAGGAGGATTCCCTGACATGGTTATCTGATATGAAAGTCTGATCCTCCCACTTAAAACGATGATTTCTTCACGTCTGCTCTACCTTCCCTTCCCCACTGTAACTCCCTAAATTTCACACATAGCCTTCTGACTTTATAAATCTTTTTCTTTGATTCTGCAAACTGATTGCTAAATGTATGATATCACCCTTGGAGCCAAGGGCATGTGACCCCTGGGTTCCCAAATGCAGGCTGTGATTTTGGTCCTGAACAGCAGAAGGAGATGTTGAGCTAGAAGATAAGGTGTTGGTTGGTTGTTTTGTTTTGTTTTTGTTTTTTGTCTTTTAACTTAGTATGTAAACAATTAGTGTAACATCGTCAAATAATTAGAAAGCTGAGAGCTAAAATGGTTGTTTTGGTATGGTGGACAGTCTCTTCTTGCAGAGGAGCCTGCACATAAGGCCATTTGAATAAATGCTTTCTACATAGAATGGGCCTTTGGAGAAGCGTTTCATTGTGCCATAACCCAGATCGACTTTCTGTTCTATCTCTCCCTCCCCACTCTCTCCTGGGCACTCATTTTGCATTTGCTGGTTGTGACCTAAAGTGTCCGTGGCTGGCTTTGGCACTCCTGTTCAGGAGGCGTCTGCTGGGTGGTTCTCTGGTTGTGGCTGAACCTTCTGTAGGCTTGTCAGTGTGCTCTACGTTACTTCAAACCCTGTCATCCAAGGCTCCTTGGAGAGATTTCGCTTTCTTTAAAGGCACCATCTTTCCATTTTGAAGAGAACAGTAAAATGCCACTTCTAAGAGTACGTCACCATACGATCTTCTTCGTTAACGGCAGAGATGCACGGGGTGTGGGCAGAATTGTTTACAGCTACTGCTAATTATATCGCTTTCTTTAAAGGCATCATCTTTCCATTTTGAAGAGAACAGTAAAATGCCACTTCTAAGAGTACGTCACCATACGATCTTCCTCGTTAACGGCAGAGATGCACGGGGTGTGGGCAGAATTGTTTACAGCTACTGCTAATTATATCTAGAGCATTTGGAGGGAGTTTCCATTTGGAACAAGCTTCTATACTTTGATATCTGTCATCTCTTTCCCAGACGATTTATTCTATTTGAGCTAATGAATACAATTTTTGCTTTAAAAAGTCTATTATATTATAGTGACTATGCCAATTCAGTAAACACCATCATTTGATTTTATTGTCAATTAAAAAAAAGTTTCTCAGAGGACTACTGTTTTAAACCAGATTGTATTACATTGTACTTCAAATTGATGAATTTATTATATATATATATGCCTTGGAATTCCTAGAAGATTTTATCAATTGTCTTTAGTTTCTCTCTTTCCATTATTTAACAATATTTCGTGTCAGAGAGTGGCTCTTAAGCCCTTGAAGCTCAGGAAACCTTATATGCCAAATCTATCAATATCCCCTTGTTCAAACCCAGCTCGAGATGGTGATTTAGCTTTTAGGTAATTTAAAACATTTGAGGCTATTCTGTTTCCATTATGTTTACCCTCCTACTTCCTGAAATTGGGAAATTTGCTATGGTATCCCCTTCACGAAGAATTACCCAGCTTCCTTACTGAAACTGGATCTTATGCCACATTCTGTCTGAATTGTGACGACATGAATTTACCTCTAGGCTAGTCTCTTGTTAGAGTTAATAGGTATGCTCCGTACACTTTGTTATGATTTGCTTTTCCCCTCTTTTTTAAGAAAAGCAAAGGAAAGTTTGTTTGGACAAAACAGAAGTTTTTCCAATGGCCATATTGTTTGTGAAAAAAAGCAGCAGCTGGAGCTGGACTCTGTTGTAGAAGAAACTGTAACGGGAGATTATGCCTTAATCATAAATGGCCACAGTTTGGTGAGTTTACTTAAGGCTTTTGTCCTTTCTTTTTCTTCACCTCAATAATCATCTCTTTTGTGTTTTCATAATAAGAACTCCTTTTTTTGTTTTCCAAACAAATGGCACTACTAGAAACAGGGCATACACAATGATTTCCTATGTGCAAAGGGAAAAGAAACTCCTAATATATATTTTATACATTATTGTTTAAACCATCAGAGTGAAGGGAAGGCTCTGGAGAGATACTGAGCTCACAGAATATTAATCTTGTCTAAGTGACTGTAGAGCACTTAGAAGTATTATTTAAGTGCCTTTCTAAAGGGGAATGTCACAGCTCACTGTTATTTAATTAACATAATGCAACTGGATGAATGTATTGCAATTATTGCTCTTGCTAGTGTTTGTGATTTGCAGAGTACAACTTGACCTTCATATAATTACCACATCAAATTATTGCCATTAAGATACCTCTGGTGATTTTTCTAAATAGCAGCATTTTACAGCAATGCCAGACAATTTGCTTTGATTAGGAAATCTGGTTCTTGTCGTAATAGAATAAACTTGCGTTGTACTTTTAATGTAGTTCAGGTTCCAAATTTTGAACAAATATCAAGATGCTCTTCTAAGTTTCTAATTTAGAATACAAGAGCTCCGATTGCACTTCAGTGAAATTATCATTTGTATGCATGAAGAACTAATCTCACATCTTTATCTGGCTTTGGTGATCATTTTTCGCTTTGGAGTTTGGAAAATAAATGTGTCTTCTTGTAGACAGTTTCGTAGAGGACAAAAGAAGTTGGATATGAGCATATTGTGTTTTCCCTCTTATGATCAGCTGTCTGTTAGCTCTTAGTGCTTAGAGCATTATCCAGCTGGATTCCAGACGTAATGATGTGTTGCCTTCTACACCATGGAAAGTTACAGAGCTCAGTTGCAGGCCAAGCTCAGCTGAAAGTTTGTTCAGATGACACGAACTTCTCCCTCACACAGGAACAGCAACTGAAAATTATAAGACTATCAGCTGGGACTCGGAGCTGGTAGCCTCCAAGCTGAATTGTCCAGGGACCACAGTGTGGAAAGGGTCCCTTATGAGTTGTGCTTTGACTTTCCCTCAGCTCAAAGAAGCCAGTGGAGGGTGGGGTTAGAGTACTCAGGTGATAATTTATACTATTCTCTTTCTTTTTCTCTAAATTTATTGAAAGGATATAAGATAGATGCTCTTTAGGCTTCATATCCCGAAGCTCATGAAACCATGGAATGTTATTTTTCATTTAAGGAGAATTG